TTTTATGGTAAAGCATTAAAAAAGTGTGTACTGAGGAAGGGCTGAGGAACCATTTTCGTTTTACGTCAAAAAGATTAGTTTGATAAACGATCTGCGCAAAAGAGTTGTTTTCTTACGATTATCATTTGATCTCTACGGTTTAAATACGCTTTTACCCAGACAGACTCTTTCCTTGTTGTTTTTTTGGCTTTCATTTGTTTTCTCTTCTCATTTCCATAGCAAAAGCGACCAGTTACATGACATTAAAAGTCTAAAAAGTCTGAACTTGGCAGTCGCGTGACTGGCGAGCTGCGTATTTTAGTGTCAGTTCCGGTAGATAGCTCGCATCACCAATCACGCGGCTGCAGCGCTTGGCGGCAAAAACGAAGCAGCAAAAAATTCTTCCGATTTTAGTTTTCGCAAATCAGAGACCCTCCTAGCGCCTTAATTTTTTGTTTCACTATTCTCTTGTCGAGGCTGAATTATGGGAATTTTTTTCAAAACAAATAAGAGCGACAAAAGAGGGCGCGGGGCGGAAAACTGAGTTCCTCTCCAATCTCGCGCACGCGCGTGGTCATTTTCGTGTCTCGAGGGTTTCGCTTGACGCACTAAGAAAAAAGAGCGACTGCTCGTAGTCTACAGCACTTACACTGTAAGAGAGAAACGCGCATCTATTTTAAAGTCGGCTGATTCAGAAACAATTTGCAGAGATAACAAAGGAAAAACCTAGCGAAGGGTGTAGTTAATCCCAGCGGAACTACTGACCGCAGAAGCCTGTGCTACACGAACCTGCGCAATCCAATGAAGTCGCTTTATTTCCAAGAAATCTAAATTAAATTAGTCAAATGCAAACTTTGTCTTTAGGGCTTTTCCCTGGGAGAGGCGAGCTGAAGGGAATCTTTTCCGCCCCACCCAATAAGGCTAAGGGGACCAAGGTCTATAGTGCCAGCTTGCTCAATTAAACTTTGAGCAGGATTTCCCCCTTTAACTCGCTCCCTGCTTTGTTTGTGGCCTTAAGAGGAAAATTCTAGGTCAATGACTGTATAGGACATCTGCAAATTAGAGGTTTTTACACATATGCATCATGCAGGGAAATTTCTGGGTACGTACTAGGCCGCTCGACGGCTAATGAGGTCCAGGTCTTCTCGGTTAACGGTGCATTAACCTGTAAGAACGCTGCATTTTTGACGTCATTTCCTCGTTAAACACAGAATTTTTCCAAATTTGGTCATCAGTAACTGG